CTTGAAATGGAGGCCTATTCTGTGTATGTTCATTTGTTTAAGCTAAAACACTCAAGTCTTCACTCTTTCAATCGGGACTCTTGATGCTGTCTAGGATTTTAGCTAGTGATTACTGGGATTCTAGCGAGTGGAACTGAAGTTTGTTGCTTTTAAAGTATAATTTATTGCATTTCTCGGCCTTAAAATACTACTCTGCACATTTGATTCGGATTCTCTTTCAGGGAACTGAATATGAGGCTGCATTTTACGGTTCAAATAATTTGGATTCCACGAATGACCGAAAGGAAGACACGTAAACATAAAGTTGAGTAGGAAGACATGAACAGGTAATTGACATTTCGGACAGGTTTGAATCACAAAAGTATAGCTACACGAATTCAAATAAGGTTTCCGTTTTGAGAATGTGAGACATTTATTGCAGCTTAATAAGAATTGTTTTTAAGTTACATGGCGTGCATGACACACATGACGTTTATTTACGTCAAGATTGCAAGAGATGTGCTGAAATTATTACTTTGTTTTCGTAAAAAATATATTTTTGTGGGAAGTGGTGGGTGATAGTAGTAGCCTAGTGGCTCTGTCGTACGTGCTACAACGATAACTTGTGTAGTTCAATTTCTTCGTGCCTGATAGATTCAAATGTGAGCTAATCCTTTGAAGACTGCTCAGATGGTGATTGAAGTGATAGGACTGAGCAAGAGTCACTTCTTCGAGGTTTTATCATGAGTGTTCATATGTGACATTATATTGCATAAATTTCTATGCAAAAATTAATTCATTCAAATTAATTCATGTGAAGTGAGAAGTAATACTGTTGGGCATGTTTTAGGGAAGTGTTATGAAGTGGGGTTTAATTCTTAGTTTTAATTAGCCTGGTGGTTAGGGTCAGTACTATGATTTACATGTTCTAACATAAAAGGGCAATAAGATTTTCTTATGTCGTCAAATTATTTCTTTCTGTTGTTTTTTCGAATGAGCAGCGAGAATGATTATCGATAAGATATTAATTAGTGAGCCATGAGACTGATTATGAACATTGATGACCACTGTAGTTGTACGGATAGTTGCATAGAATTTTTTTATTAGAAGAATAGAAAGGATAATGCTTGGCTCTAAGATGTGTGATACTTAAGATCCCTAGTGATTATGATATATGAGAGTTGTAAGTAATCCTGCTAAATATTACACCTGGGATCGAAAGTATAAACTACCCTTCGTTGTTAGATCATTTGTTGCGCAAATATCGCAACCTGGCGGTCCTTTTCTTCACCATATCAGGCTGTAGACAGTACTGCAAGAGACGGTTTTTGTCAAAGTAACCTTTTATAAATAAACTGTTTTCTATTCCAAGCATTTCCATCCTTCTTTCTTCCTTTGCATACTATTACCTTCATAAAGTTCCATCTTAGTTATTGTACCCGATTTTTAAGCTTCCACTACGTAAACACATGCAAACACATAATAATACATTTCTTGCTCGCTTGCTAATCATTAAATTTTATTGGATTCCGAAGTTGATCCTTCTGTTTTGTTTGTTGCTTCATTATTCAAAATTCTGATCGGTAAGTCTTTACAGAGTATGAATGTAATTCTCAGTTGCGATGCAATGCACAGATCGTAAATTCAAATAATTGTTTTCTTCTTATCTTACATATAGTAGGCACATAACATTTTAATACATAAACGATATGTAATCACTTCAAATTAAGTGAACAATTATGTCTTGAGAAAGGACCCTGATCACTATACTTTCTAATGGTCAGAATGAAAAGAACCTGCATATTTCACAAAAAATAAAAGCATAAAACGAATACTAATTACAATGTATTAAAACAAAAATAAATGAGACTAAGATGTTGTGAATCGCACTGTGCTACAGAAATGAATTAATTGCAGATCTTTCTGCTTGTAGTCAAGAAAATTTGTCAACAAGACAAAGTCTGATTAGAATGATTAGTTATACAATTTATGCTTAGTAAAATTTAATTTAAAAAATTTTTCTCACCAAAATTACTTCAAAATATTCTTTTAACGAAAGTAAAATGCAAATGTCTTGACAGTGAAGTACAAAATTCAAGTGAGAACTTGTTGCAAACAAACAAATATTTGGGCAAATATTAGTGAGAAAGACTTGATATTTATTATTTACTTTATTAATTTTTAATAATTTCGAATTTTCACATCAGCCTTGTTTTTTTATTCTCTCGACGATCTTTCGCTCGCCTGCAAATTTATTACCTTTAATCAAATATGCAAAAAAGAAGAAAATAAGACTATTTACGCCTAATACATATGACAAAACTTATTATATATTTGAAATATCCAAAATTACGGTCGTATGGACAGATTAATGAATGAAATTTGCTTTTATTACTGAGTTTACATAAATATTGCATATATTTTATGACTAAGGAAAATAACAAGCATATTATGCATTGTAGACACTAGTTAAATTCAGTAATCTTATTTATTAAACAGTAATTCCAAGCAAGATTCTTTCTTAATTAGTATTCATTTTTATTCATTTCATTCTTTTAGATATCTTGACATATTTGTCAGGGCCAAATTTAGCACAGAAAAGCAATGAAAGTACTAGGATTTTCATATTTGCAATAAGCAAATTTCAGATAAAATTTTGTGTGGCAAAAAATCTTTTCCTTCTTGTTTTTCTGTTTTGAATACTTTAAGGGCCAGAAAAATTATTCGAATTAAAGCCTAATTCGCGCTTGCAAAGCATTCTTCACACTTTCATCTGCTTATTCACAATTCTGAGCAAATATTACCGACAAAAGAAGAAATACAAATAATGAAGGATATCATTCAATAAGCAAGGCTTGACCCTTAGATTATAAGGTCAAGAGGATTTGTAACGATTTTATGCAAATGTCAGGTAATTCAAAGGTATTGGATACAAATAATAATTAGTGCTACAATGTGATTCAAGCAAATCATTTTACCGCATTCGTCAACAAACTTCGGTCACCTGAATTCCTCATGTATTGCTTCAAAAAAAGAGCTGTCAAGACTTGTGAGAAAAACCAAAATTTTAAAATTCATGTTACTGCCGTGGTCATTAGCTAACTAAAGGAAAGCAATAATATCAAGTCTTCTTCAGAATCAGAATTTAAAAAGAATATAAAATGTTTCTGACACCAGAAATTTGTCAAAAGGCAATGTTTTCATCCTTATCCTTAAAAACGACAGTATGTATTTTTCGCTGGTCGGTGATTGTTTCAGTCACTTCTAATCACGTAAGCGTAATCTCAGAGCTAGAAAATTAGCTTACGTGGCATTTGGAATAATCACTGGCAATTATCTACATTGGTTATTACCAAACTTGCATACGTTTGGGCCATTTTAGCAATGTCAATGAATGAAAGTATAAATGAAGTCGTAAAAATTTTATAGCCAGATGAAACCCGATGAAAAGATTTGAGAGACAATGTTAACACAAACAGAACTGAAGAATTACTACTGCAAACTTTTATTTTTTAATGACTGCAGCAATTATCTTTTAGGTACACAAATGAATTACCTTAAAATCCTTACTGATAGAAGAATTTTCACATTACTTTTTACTATTACTATTACTATTACTTTAAATGCACTCACTTTTTGAACAAAACTTTGAGTGCTAACGAATTCGCCTCAACAAGCCGTCGAGTAGTCAATTAAATTCATTATACTAGCAAACTATTATTGTACAAAGCTGAACATTGCTTCAAAATGGCAAAGTTCAACAATTTTAGGAAAAATATTCACAAATTCTGATCAGTCAATATTATTTAATAGTTGTTGTATACAAAACTAAAAAACCTTTCAGCACTTAAAGTTTTAGATATTTTCTAATAATACTTTTGAATAAACTAAACTTTAAATGTACCATAAATGTTACAGTTTGACCTATGTCCTATGCAATCCTAAAAAAATATTTATCAAAGCAATATTTTAGGCTTTATTCTCAGATCAATTTTTATTACTCAATCAACAATACACACACACACACACTCACACACAACTGTTCTCAAATATAAATCAAATTCATCTGAATTGCGTAACTGTCGCAATGTTTAGTACCTGAGGTCGCTCTCTTTCCACAACACAAACCTTAACTATGATCTTTGCAGGAATGAAAAAAACCAAGTTCTAAGATAGAAAATTCAAAAGATATTATCTCAGAAAACAAATATACTACTTGATAATGCCAGCATGCAATATCGCTATATTATTATCTTGATCAGTACTACATTTTGTCGGTTAAAATATAATTAATTAGTTTATGACCGCCCTTACTCTCATTTACTATTCTGCTTTTTTCATTAAATCGATACAAAATTTTAAATAACCAAACGTACTGAAAGCTTACTTATTACCAGTACATATCTCTTAAATATAAATACTACTTCCTTCTCACTGCTATTCTTAAACACAAACTAAGAGTACAATAAATTAGCAAATAAAAAAAAATTATCAAAAATAGTGAAAAAACTTTGTTCATTTTTAGCGATAGTAAGGACAGATAATCAATTTCAGTGAGTAATTAATAGTAAAGTTTGAAAAGTGAAAAGTGAAGAAGTTTCATAGCATTTATCTTTTAATACAGTCAGCTTACAAAAGTATTACTTAACTGACCGATTTTGGAACCAAATCTTGACCTGCCGTTCGGTTAGTTGCAATTCAGATGAAAGCTGCGATTTGCGCTCCGAATTTATAAATTGCGAAGTGCGAAATTCCTTCTCTAATTCCAACCGCTGATAATCAGTATAAACCATACGGTATTTTTCGCTTGTTCTAACCCTCACGTCTGCAATATCATCAAAGTACTCAGTTGAAGAGGTTTAACTTCATGCATATAACTAACCATATTTGGTTGGTATTAAGCTAGCTTCTTTGAGCAAGCACTTTTTGAAACAATTATATAAACTATAAATACCGTAGTGTGAATTAAATTGAAACTAAGCGAATAAAAAACCATAATAAATATTTTCAGTTGAAATGTTATTAATTATTATTTTTCCGCTTTTAATTTCAAAATTACTGTTTAAGACTGAACAAACTTTTTAAAATCAAATGTTTTCAAAATAATTATTTTTGGATATCGCACAACTTCTCAAAACCCTTTATACTAGATTCTACAAAATAACAATAGCCTTCAAACAATAGCCTGAGATCAGATGTGACCTTCAAAAGAGATTCTTGTAACGAACAGCACAAGAACTACGGTAGAGCAAGAATTATTTGCTGGGAAATAGAATTACTTACTGCATACTGTATAGCCGAATTTACTTTGGCTCACAACTTTATGACCACAGGAAATGTATTATTTCATTAAAAAAATTTAATATCAAACTAAAAAAAATTTTTTTGAAAGGAATTAGATTTTTTGGATTTTTGTAAAGACATTTCTATGAGTTTGCATTTTTTTAATAACTTTTTTTGCTAAAAAATTGAAAAGTTAATTGTGCCTTAAGCACCAATTACACATGTATTTCTAGAATGTTTAATTAAAGACGTATTTCACGTGAAGGCTGACGTCGTTGTAAATCATTGCAGACCATGAGTACTCTCACCTGATACTGGCTTTTATGGCGACCGGAAAGTCCTATCTGAACATCTAAGCACAACATCTACACTATTTACCGTGAACGATTTACAACCATTTAATATCCATCTGGTTAGGAATGTTTTCTTGGTCAATATATAGAGCATTTGGCTACAGTTTTCATATTTTGAACGGTCATATTTGTCTTTCCATAACTTATGCCAAATATCTCAAGAAATTTTAGACTAAAAATAGGCAGAAATACTTGACAATGTTCTCAGAAATAAATATATGGTCTTGTAAAAATGAAAATATCTGATAGAATTAGTTTGTGCAATAAATGAACTAAGTAAAATTAAATAGTGTAAAAATTATTAGACTAAATTATTAGGCTTAAAAAATTGTAAAAATTCAAATGTTTAACATTTGCTTGCTAAATGATAACAGTAGCAATCACAATCGGATCTAAGATGACAGTAATGTCTTTTACTTGTCAAATTGGTTGCAATTTTTTTTTCAAATCAATAATTTTCAAGCTAAAACTGACTTTTGTCTTTGTCAAAATTCTTTTCAAATGAAATAAAGTAATAATTACTAATAATTATTCTATTTCGGTAAACTTTTTAAACTTAATTAATAGAAGAGTTACTATAAATGGCGCAGAGGTCAATAATTAACCCCACACTAAGTCTAAAATTTCATATTCATTTATGATTTTTCCAAAATCCTTTGCATGGTCATTACAAAACTTATCAGACTTTATTAGTTTTTATGTAAAAAAGCTTTTCTCTTCAAAGTTTTACTGCAATTATTTCTATAAAAATCACTTCATAAGCTTTTACAGCATTGTTTGACGGCATGCAAATTATAATTAATAAAGTGTTTGTAATAAACTGTGTAATGTGTTTCGTTTAAGTAATAAAGTAGTATTAGAGATCACTTGAATGCTTACATACTATGTATATTGATAAGTTTATCGATAAAAAAATTATGAACTTCTTATCACAGCCCATACGGAAAGCTAATTACTTTGAGATAAGCATCGTCGATAAACAGTTGTTGTCAAAAACGTTTTAAAAGAATGATTAAATAGTGATGATATTTTTCTCCTTGAGAGATAGATATTAATAGTGTAGATTGCAATAACCAGTAAAATATATTCTAGAATGGAAAGTATAAATTTCCCACCAATTTATGCTGAAGGAACCTATTGAATTTGACATGGAATATAGAAAACTGATATATTTTTTTTTGTGAGAAAGTCGCAAAAAAGCAGAAATAAAATTGAATTCTTACTGTTGGTACCAGGACCAGTACGATAAGGCGGTGAGATAGTTTGCTGTTGGTGCGTTCGAGTTGACGTGCGTCTACAGTTGAAAGGTGCATATGCAAATGCTGGAACCTGCAATAACTTGAAATGCATTCGAAGGAAATATTTATTTTTTCATATAATTATGAAGCAAAATCTTATTGCATGAACTTAGACTAATTTTAAGAAAAAGTGTTCTAAATGTGTTAGTAATTTCTACAAGAAAAAACTCGTCAATAGTCTTTACAAGTCATTTTTTCATTATTTTCATCAAAAGAAGAGCAATTATTTCACACGAAAAGAGTAGCACAAAAGTTATTCGTATTTTTCAACAACTTTTCCGTTGAAGGAAAAAGTCAAAAGTCATACTGGGATAAACGTATTGCCATAATTGCTCGTATAATTATGATTTTCAAAAGTAAATTTTGAATAATTTTTTATCAAATTACTTTCCAGTGAGCAATCTGTTCCGCCGTCATAAAGTGTTCATTGTTCGTAGTTGGATTAGCATAAGATGAAGTTAACATTGCAGCATTTGGATAATAACAGTTTCCAGCATTTTCAAAATGATTTAAGCAGCAGTTTCCTGGTAAATGTGCCATTGATGTAGATGGAAATGGATCAGTTGGATATACTTCGGATATTACAGAAGGATTAGCTGAAGCAGCAGCTGCCGCAGCTGCTGCAGCAGCTGGATGAATCCTTTGAATTTGGTATGGAATTTCAGTAGGCCATCGAACATCAGTAGAACACTTTATTGATTCTGCTGTTCGGAAACTACTAGAAGACGCAACTCTTGATGCTTGATCGTTAGAATTTCTATGGGGATTATTGTTATCAGCAAGCCATTTCGATGATTGCTGTGGTGGTGCAGTTGGATAGAAGTATGAAGCACTTGGTATCATTGCAATATTGCCAAGATTTGGCGATGATGTCATACAAGTGAGAGCAATAATAACAATTACAGTGTAAATTAATAACAAATAAGTTACTGATAACAATTGATAGCACCGATTGATGATGACACCGATAATGACAAATCCTGCAAAAAGAGACGTCAGCGTCTTGCAGTTAACTTTCTTACATCTAAACATATGATACTGTAAGTTGTTCGTTTGGGATCTTCTGTAATGGGCGTGACTTGAGCAACTTTCTCGAAAATCTAAAATATCCATTTGTGGTATTATACCAGGGGAATTAAGAGGCGGGAAGGAGGAAACGATTGGTTGATCAGAAAGGTATAAGCAGCGGCAACTCTTTTCAGGTCAATCGTAGATATTTTCAGCTAAATAATTCCAGCATAGATTTCAGCAAGCTCAAATGATCCGATGATGATTTACGGTTGCCATATATCGTCATATATGACCCGTAATTCGTTCTTTTTTCTTTTGCATTCGTCTACTTTTTTCACCTCCTTTACTATTTTAAATCTTAATATTACTTCTGCTTATTATGCAGAACAGGGCTAACAGAAAAGCGTTGCTAGTCCTAATCTTAAAAAAAGTCCATTCCTTTCATTTCAATTACTTATGCAAGTCCTATCAATTTGAACTGTTAATTTTATTTTGCGTAAAGAATGTAATTACCGTTGTACTTTTGACTTTACTTAATGGTTATTTCCTGGAAACATTAACGTGCAGACAGAATCAAATCTTACATTCACGTTTTTACTGTTTTGATACGGAAAATTCAGCACACCACACGTGAACTACTTTTCTAACCAAATACAATTTTTGAAATCAATCTTACTTTACAAAGTTAATAGAATTGAAAACGTTTAATTTACATCAAAATAAAAACTCACAATTTATATTAAGGAGTTAATTTTGAGTGTATCAAATTAAAGTTCAATTGGAGGTCATAAAAGCACAAGTATGCAATATGTGTTGCAAAATGTAAAGAAAATATCTAAAAGAAATACGATTAATAAGATAAATGAATAATCTCTTTAGGTAAGCCAATTAATAAGTGATTGATAATAATTACAGAGGAAATAAAGCAACGAGTAACGGGGCGTAGTCTCAATGTTCACTGACCGAAAAACATACCCTTATTTAGAAAAAATGAACTATGAACTTATGCGGTTCAACTTTTTTTACAAAAATGACATATGGTTTTAAGCGTATTATATTTTTGATGCTTACTTAGAACAGTTTAACGACCAATGCTCTTACATACATTTATGTTTCAATTCTCCTTACCACTTATCATAAAGCGAATTTGATTAAATATGAAAGACTTAACAGCACTTATCTCAATTTGTTACCAAATTATTACTTAATAATTATTTTTAATCAGCTACTGAAATTATATAGCAATCAAATAAACGCACTGTAAAAGTTGATAGTCTAATCATAAACATTACTTAGTTACTCAGTCACTTACTTACTTACTTAGTAACTAAGATTCCTTTTTAGTTGCCCAATCAATAGAAACTAATTATGCTCTCTAAGACTGAAACTGACCATAATTATGATCTTCTTTTTCAGTACTGCATTCAGTAATGCCAAATGAATGCTATTTTGATTGATTTAGAAGCGATATTAGACCTTATGAATTAATTTTATACTGATAAATGTTGTAGTAACGAAAATCACTAATTATTATCAGTAACTTTTGGAAGGAGAACATTTTTTTCTCAATTTTCTATCAGTTAATCAAAAACTTTCTTTACTGTCTTTGAATATTAATTGCTAGGAAATAAGTACAAACTACATTTCTGCTTCAGAAATGATTTCTGCAACAATTTCAGTCATTTAAAATGCATTTCAATGATATCACATTGTATATTCTAAGCTGTGATTATGTTTGAGTGATAATGTTGCATAGTTTATTCACAACACTTTTGACGAATAAATCACGTGTAATTCTCTTTTTTATACTCGACACAAAAACAAAAACTTGGTAAATCTATGCAGGCTTGAGCTGTTGATTTTTGTCCTCAAATATGATCCAATCCGTGAAATAGTTCGATAATAGTGATTTGCATCAAAAATGATATTTGCCTTGGGAGGATCATAGTCCATGGCTGTTATTAAACAATCGTCGACATTTGCTGGCGTATAATCATCAAGACTTTTGAATAAAAAGTACAAACATACAGTGATGTGTTGCCTTGCATTTTTTGGCACTATAAATATAAAATTATAATCAGTAAAAAATACAAGAAAAAGATATTTGGTAGTGCAAAAACGATCAAAATATGCAAAAGTGTAAATGTATGCAAAAATATAAATTAAAATTAATGCATACATTTGAGATAAATTGCTTATTTTCCTCAATTTAATGCTTTTAAACTTGTTGATTTTTTAATAACTTTTCAGAATAATATTTATAAAGCAATTAAATTGTTGCATTGCCTTCAGAGATGATATCTTTCAGGTTGCAATATGAAAAATGCTTATAAAATGCTTACAATTTAAAAGTTCTTATATGCATTTTTGAATCCACTGGAAACCGGGGTTAGTGATAGTTCAACTTTTTATTGTCACAGAATAGAATAGGCAAAAAATATTTCAGTTCATATTTTAAACAGATAAATAAAACTTTTAATATAATATAGTAAAATATATTTACAAATTAATAAAATGGGAATCTAAACGAAATTAATAAAATAGCTACAATATTATGTTTTGTTAACAGAATGACTTCAGATGGTAAATTTTTCTTGCACGTTTAAGTTTCATAGAAGCAGAAGGTATTGTTGTTGTTGCTGTTGCCTTGCTTTCCTTGTTGCCCAAAATTGAGGTCAAATTTTATTGCCAACGTCGCCTTAAGCTGCCCTCAAGAATAATACAATTCCCAACAATAAATCAACAAAGCCTGAAAATCACACATTTCTTCACATTTTACCTCCTCCATTACTCATTTGCTTGAGGAATATAATTTTGCTTATGGTAATTATTGCTTATGAAAAGCAAGGCCGAAGGTCAAAGACTGCCAACATTAGGAAAAGTTTGCATATGCAAATGTGATAAAATATTATTTTCGTCATAAATAACAATACAAAAGCAGAATAAACATTGTTGCATGTTAATTCTAAATAGTTTATCTACAAGAAACCGTAATAATCGAAAATTCTGACATTACAAAAGTAGATGTGCAGAGTATTAAAGTTCGCTGCAAAAATTAAAATGACACTGAAAAAACTGATATATTCCAAGAAATAATAATAATTCATTTAAGACTTGAAGACAAACTGGCTTGCCTCACAGTCTGAGTCTCAACAGCTAAAATATTGTTTAACTGCTCTCATCAGATCGAATCTCTTCCTGCAACAAACGCACTAAAGTTAGCCCTAATTTGCATCTTTTCACGCATAAAATCAATTCTAAGTTTGTGAACTTTTGCCACAAAAAATATTTTAGCAATAAGATGAAATTACTTGAAATAAATGAGAATCGGACGCTTGATACTTGACTACAAAAGTCTTAACAGACTTCCCTCACAAAAGGTGACCAACTCAATTAATAATGCAATCAAATCGAGCAAACGTAATTCGTTCTAAAATTTGCCAAAACAACTATCATTTAATTCGCTTACATTCAGAAATGTTAATTTTACTTAGTCAATTCAATTATAGAAAAAATGTGATGCACAGAAAACCAATTGATTGACAACGTGTAGTTCTCAGAACTGAAACAAAAAGCCAGTCATAATTTGAATTAATTTTTCTATCGGAACTTCTCATAAGATTCGCTTTTCTTGCCCTTCGCAACTGTCGTAGCATTTGTGGTGACAAGTCTGATAATTTCAAAAATTTATATCGAAGTTTTGCTTTCTAGTTCTGTAACTTTTGTAATTGAATACCCCCACTTGCCTTACTATATCTCATCTGAAATTGTTAAAGATCGTTGAATATTGCATTATAAGCAGAAATTTTGCATCTTGAATTGAAAAAGTATACTTTTCAAGTAATTTATCAAGTACTG